GACGCATCATCTGTGGGGGATCCCAGACGCCCTGGACAACGATCCTGTCAACCCTCAGCAACGAGGCGTCCTTCTCGTGTGCACTGCGTGCGGCGCGTGGAACCGGCCGAGGTGTTATCTTCTGAACCCCTCCACCTCCTCGGCGGAGGGCGGGGGCCTTGACCTTGGCCCGTTGCCTCCGAACCTCTAGAGGTGGAGGAAGGAGGGGGCAAAGGTCACCGCTCTCCGTCGAGAAGATCGGATGAGGATCAGAAAAACCTCTCGGCATTGAAGGGGTCTAACCACCTATGTCGGGAAGTATCTGTCTGAGGAGTGCCGAGGCATGTTGATCAACAAGTACTATTCTAAGAGTCTTGAGCGTCTCTTCTCTGGCTCCCAGCCCTACAGGAACGCCAGGGGTGTCGCCCCTTACTGGCGGCCTGGGGCCTGACTCAGTCCTGGCTTTAGTTTTGTAGTTTTGTAGGTTGCATGTGTCATCCAGTTGGAATCGGGGTGCAGATCCGGCGCGTCGATGATAATAATCAGTGGTTTGTAATTAGTTTGTATTGACCACTCACTCACGCAGCAGCGCAGCACAGTTGGACGTGTACGTATACTTTATTGCTTCAACATGTGCTAGCAGATAACAGAATTCATACATTTGCAACACAATCAATCCTAATCCTCACATCCTCACCTCCTGCGCATCCTCCTGGCCCCCCGGTCCCTGACTTCCATGGTGCCCAGCGTGTGAGTTCCCACGGCCTCCAGATCCGGGCGCTTTGGCATCTTGGGCCATCTTGGGTTATCCTGCTATCTCGAGGGCAATCTAAAGATCTAGTCGTTGTCGCCGTCGCTGTCGTCGGATGGAGGCGCAAGCAGACGGGCGTGAGCCCGCGGTGGCTCAGCCCACCCAGCCACCCAGCCAGTCAGGTCAGTCCGAGGGTCTCGCATGGCTTACCACGTCTCATCATCAAATGTACGCATCCACGTGGCATCCCACGCTCCGTTCCAGCTCCTCAGGCTCCTCAGGTCCTCCACTGCTCCTCTGCTTCCTCCTTCCTCACCTCGCCCGCCCTTCCTTCCCCTCTTCCTTCGCGCTCTCCCCGTCGGAGCGCCTCGGGCGAACGCCCAGCGCAGCAGCGGGGCATCCGCGGCAGGGCCAGGACAGGCGCCGCCGCCGCCTCGGGATGAGAGTTCTTGAGGATGTAGGAATGAATACACTGAGGATGATTGGGTTCCGCTTTGACTTGGCAGACATCGGAACTTTCGCGGCCCTTAGGAGGGCGCGAGACGACTCCAATGCCAGAGATGGTCTAGACGGGGGCCCCGGACAATTCGAGCCCCCACAGCCAGTCAGGTCAGTTGGAGGGTCAGTCTGAGGGTCTCGCATGGCTTACCAAGACCCATCATCAAGTGCACGCCTCCATGTGGCATCCCACGCTCCGTTCCAGCTCCTCAGGCTCCTCAGGTCCTCCACTGCTCATCTGCTTCCTCCTTCCTCACCTCGCCCGTCCTTCCTTCCCCTCTTCCTTCGCGCTCTCCCCGTCGGAGCGCCTCGGGCGAGCGCCCAGCGCAGTAGCGGGGCATCCGCGGCAGGGCCAGGACAGGCGCCGCCGCCGCCTCGGGATGGGAGTTCTTGAGGATGTAGGAATGAATACACTGAGGATGATTTAAAGGGCTAAGAACGACGAGCAGGATCATGTTGGCCGTCCGAGTGGGGTTCAGCTTTGACTTGGCAGACATCAGAACGTCACAGGCCCTTCTAAGGCCATCAAATCAATCCTTGTGCCCGAATGCGTCCTTCGCTTAACTCGTAACCTATGCGCGGGAAGGGTTCGGCCATACATCCAAGTTCGTGCCAGCGCCCAGTTGACGAGCACAACGTGCCCAATCACTACCAACAATTAGTTATGCTCCCTGTGGCAGTCGGGAGGCCCATGTCAATGATCTCTAATCGCCATGTTGTTTCGGGGCTCCAAAGAACCCTATGGGGAACCAAGAGTTGCCCCAAGAGTGCTCCGAAACGAAACTCGAACTCACGTATGCACACGTCAATATGGTCGGTAGCATGCTGGGGTCCGCCATTTGGAACCACATATGAGACCACTACTGTATATTCGGCAACACGACTTGGATCCTTCTTGCACCGCACTAGGTCATTGAGGTTTTTCGATGCTCATCCCGACGAGCTCCATACGATGTGTTGGGAAACACCTCCCGACATGATCTATGAGTGCAGTCGGGAAGCACCTACCAACTGGCACTCTAGATGTTATCGGGATGCCCATCCCGACGATAGATCTGGGAGTTGTCGGGAGGTACCTCCCGACGTGCTCTCTGGGGGAGCGTCGGGACACACATCCCGACGAGCTCTCTGGGAGCTGTCGGGAGGTACCTTCCGACATGCTCGCTGGGGATCGTCGGGAGGTGCCTCCCGACGGGCTCTCTGGGGGCCGTCGGGAGGTACCTCCCGACGGGCTCTCAAGGGGCCGTCGGGAGGCACCTCCCGACGGGCTCTCTGGGGGTCGTCGGGAGGCGCTCTCTCCAGCCTCCCGACGGGCTATCTGGGGGTCGTCGGGAGGCACCTCCCGACGGCTCGCTGGGGGCCGTCGGGGTATCTGGGGTCGTCGGGAGGTACTCCCGACGGGCTCTCTGGGGGTCGTCGGGAGGTACCTCCCGACGGGCTCTCGGGGTCGGGAGGTACCTCCCGACGGGCTCTCTGGAGGGGGGGGGGGTCGTCGGGAGGTACCTCCCGACGGGCTCTCAATGGGCCGTCGGGAGGCACCTCCCGACGGGCTCTCTAGGGGTCGTCGGGAGGCACCTCCCGACGGGCTCTTTGGGGGTCGTCGGGAGGTACCTCCCGACGGGCTCTCGGGGGGGTGTCGGGAGGTACCTCCCGACGGGCTCTCAATGGGCCGTCGGGAGGCACCTCCCGACGGGCTCTCCAGGGGTCGTCGGGAGGCACCTCCCGACGGGCTCTCTGGGAGTCGTCGGGAGGAACCTCCCGACGGGCTCTCAGGGTGCCGTCGGGAGGCACCTCCCGACGGGCTCTCTGGGAGCAGTCGGGAGATGCCGCCCGACGAGCTCTCTGATTGCAGTCGGGAAGCATCTCCCGACGAGCTCTCTAGTACCAGTCTGGGAACCACCTCCCGACATGCTCGCTTGGGGCCGTCGGAGGTGCTTCCCGATTGCTGTCGGCCGATGCGCATTTAACTGATCAGATACTTGTCGAATGCCCGACACCATGCGTTTCGTTGCTAACTTGAACGTCGCCCTTCGGCAACATCATCATATCAAACCAGCCTGACAATCATAGGTTTCGTTAGCATTATCGATATAGTCATCATTATCAACACGTCGTACGTTATGTTTGTGCAGCTAAGGTGGGCATATGTCAGCCATAATTATGTGCCATGCGGGGATACCAGCCAGGAGTATTGCAACTGTTTCGGGGACATATAACGCTGTGAGCAACAGGGTCGATGACGCACTCGAGCAGATTGAACGTACACACCATCGGTGTTACCACACAATGATCCAGCATTTTGTGCGGCCCCGACCACCGAGATATGACGCATACATTTTTTTGGGGGAACATGTATTGCCATCTGCATCAACAACACGATCATCCATCTCACCACCATCTTGGCTCAAACTATACCAGTGCAATTGCACGCGCACTCTCCCAGGTCTGTCAACCAGCCACGGCAGCCACATATGCCTCCTAAGAAGCGAGCTGATGCCACTGACCAACCACATGGCCAACGCAAGCGCTCGCGGGCGACTGTGGCAACAGAGCCGGAGCCTGAGTCTGAGAAGAAGCCTGCGCCTACGCCCAAGACAGCACCTACGCCCAAGAAAGCATCAGCAGCGAAAGCGAAACCATCGTTGGGGAAAGTGGCACAGAAAACCATTCAGTCAATGTTCGCCAGCTCCGACAATGCGGTGCCTGAGTTGCCCAGCGCTGCGCCGCCTCCAGGCATGCAGCCCGCGGCGGAGGAGATCACCACCGCGCCGCCAGCAGAGCAACCGCCGCAGCCGCTTGGAGATGCAGCTGCAGCAGAGAAACATGATGCCGCCGCAGATGGACCGCAGCCGCTGCAGCTGGAAACCCAGGCGCCCGCGGCGGAGTGCGGCGATGCCACCTCTGCCTCCTTTGCAGCGCCAGCAGCTGCGGGCTTGCCGCAGCCAGAGGATGCAGATGCAGAGCAGCCCGAACAGCCATTGGCGGCTGGCTGCGGTGCTGCCAGCGTGGCGCCAGAGGAGCAACCGATTCCGCAGCCGCTGCCACCGCATGAGGCTGAGACAGAGGAGGCCGCGGCTGATGGCCAGCTCGACGGCTCCCAGGCGCCCGCGGCAGAGGTCGCCGCGGCCGCGGCGCCAGCAGCTCCAGGTCCGCAGCCCTCGGTAGACGGCTCGGGGGCCGCGGCCATCGCCGAGCACGCTGAGCACCGCGAGGTGGGCGTGAGGCAAGAGCTGACAGAGCAGCCAACTACTACAGGCGTGACAGGCGTGGGCGGCGCCGCTGTGGCCGCGCTCGCGCCCGAACCCGAGCCCGAGGGGCCCGAGGGAAGCGCCGAGGCCGCTGGCGCGCTGCTGGCTGCTTCCTCTTCCGCGCCGCTGGCTGCGGCGGCCGCGCTGCCAGAAGAACTGCTGCCTGACGGGGCCCTTGCGCCACCGCCGCCGCCGCAGCTGCAGCATGGTCAGCATGGTGATGCGGAGTCGACGCTGGCAGATCTGCCCCGTCGGCGTCGCAGGCGCCGCGCAGCCCCCGTCTCGACCCGTGTCCAGACAGGCGAGACTGCTCCCCCCGCGCCTTCCTTGGCGGACGAGTGGCAGCTCACCGGCGCAATGCTCCCCATCTGCACCAGCATCGCGCAAGCCTACGCCGAGTACCACCGCGGCGACCCCAAGGTATGCCGTGATCTTCGCGACTCGTTTGAATGGGCCACTGATTCATCAATGAGCTCGAGCGCACCGAGGGCCCCGAGGGCATGGACATGTTAGATCACCTTGAGGAGCAGCTGTCGTGGGACACGCGCTCGACTGCCTACTCGGGGATCGGGGCACCAGAGGTCGCTATCAACTGTATATGCCAGGCCCTTGGGCGCAAGAAGAAGAAGATCATTCACCCACCTCGGTTTTTGTATGCCATAGAGTGGGACGAGGATGCGCAGAAGGAGTTACAGATCCTCCTAGCGCCGACTGGAGGCTGTCTGTTCGGAGACATCACGCAATTCTTCATCCCAGAACTGCAGGACCAGGTCAACGCTCTATTGGAGGATCCTCAACATGCTTACAAGGCCTGCTCGAATCGAGATCGCTGATATCCGATCGACTCATCGACTAGGCTGACGACCGATTGATTTGTCGATCAGATCACAGGCCGACGTTGACTCCGTGTCGGCCTGTGATCTGGTCGACCAGCCGGTCGTCGGACAGAGTCGATCTGCCGATCGGTCAGATTTCTTTTGATTTGAGATTCTGAAGGTCTTGAGGCCCGCGATCCGCAATGGCGGCGCGGTGACCAGCAAGGGGTGGTGCCTCGTCCACAAGAAGTACTGCTATTTGAAACCTGCGAGACACCACACGGCTGGGACGAGCTGCACGGCGTTCAGCAAACAGGGACCGCAGACAGGCATCCACCATTGGACGATTGTTCCACTTCTCGCGTGGATCGGCCTCAGATTGCTACTGCAGGAGGCGGAAGTGGAGCAGGAGAACGTAGAGGGGTTCGACCTAGCTATACTATCAGAATTCCTGGGGGATACCTACTGGATAGACAGCGTCTTGCTAGACCCTCGCATGTTCGGGTGGCCATCGATCCGGACGAGGAAATGGACCAAGTTGACGCACAAGTACAAGGCGCTTCCGCAGATATCGCCGCTGTCACGTTTTTGTAAAAGGTTCTACAGGCTTGCTACGTATTCATGGAGGGAATACTTTTTCCAACATATGTTCTATGGGATAGTGGATTCAGCCGACCTGCACCGTGGAGCAATCGACAACGAGCTGGATACTGACTTGGCTTGGGCGCAGGCTCGCCCTTCCTCGTGCATGAAAGGCGAAGCTGCAGTGAACGCACGCACGCCAGATGCGTGGTTCAAAACCCTTTCCATCTGGGAGAAGTCGAACTTGCTCGATTACATGAAGAACTACCCGAACGCCGCCTGGCAGATCAACCAGGACGCCAACTCGCACACTACTGCGAGCACTTCCACGGACCTCCACACCCTCATTCGGAACCACATTATCTTCGCTGACAGCATCGGATCGTATCAGGCGCCTGGGCCCCTGGGCGTTTCCCTCTTTCCCCCTTCTTCCTTCCCGTCCAGGGGGTCCAGGGGGCCTCAGGACCTTAGGAGCCAGGAGGCCCGCGGGTCACCTTCCGAGGCCAACCTTAACCTCACAACTTCCTTGAACAGATCGGCCGAGTGGCCGAGTGGTTGGAACTGATTTTCACCTTAAGGCGAAAATCTGTGCCAGCAATTCATCTTCCTCCTACTCACTACTCCTCCCCCTACCTCCAAGACGCTGTACTGGAACAGATGTTCGCCTTAAGGCGACAATATGTTCAATATGTTCCAGCCACCTCGGGTCTCCTCCTCCTCTTCCTCTTCCTCCTCCTCCTCCTCCTCCTGGTCACCTGGTCCCTTACAGAATCACTGGGAAGGAATCTCTGTTTCTCTGATTCTCTGTTTAGTTTGTTTGCATCCTCCTGGCCCCCCAGCGGCCTGGCGTGCGAAGGCAGCTGGAGGCGAGACCGCCGAGTCGCCCCGGCGGTGGCTCAGCCCGACCGAGGCGCTGGTGTCGCAGGGCTTCCCGATCCACCCAGTATACCCACAACGATCTCAGAGTGACGTGCTGTGCTCTTTCAACGTGCGTGCAGAGCGTAAGCATCGGGTTGTGGCTGGCCAGGCGGGCAACACGATGAACGTATCGGTCGCTGGCGTGTTTGCCCTCGCTGGCTATTGCAACTTAGCTTTTAGGGAGAATGCGATGTTGACTGCGATTGCCATGAGCATGCACGTTCCTAAGCCGATCAAGGATACCAGGGACAAGGGCCAGGGCACTCACTCGTAAGCGCCATCATGGGAAGTCATCTCCAGGGCCCGCGGGGTCCGGCGGCGACGGCGGCGTTGTGATCGCCCGCCGGTAGGTCGTGAGATCGTGAGATGCGCCAGCGGACCCCACACAGCACGTCTAAGTCTAAGTATAGAAGACCTTGCGGCCTTGCCCTTGCTCCCTTGCCCCTGTTAAACAACGCTAGTGCTGCAATGTTTGGGATCCCGGGCGAGCGTGTAGTTGTGCAGCGTGCAGTGCAGTGCAGTGGCAGTGGCAGTGTGTAGGCACTGCGGCGCCTGTCTTCAGCCTGTCTTCCCGACTGCTGGTCGCCGCCGCTGGTCGCCGCGGTGGGGCGGCCGCCCCGACCGACTCGAATTCATTGGGGATTGGATTCGTCAAGTACGCTGGCGACTCGCCACAGAGAAGGAGCAGGACTCCAGACCTAATACAAAGAAGTGAGTGATAGGGCGGGGGGATCTGAGGAGCCCAGCCCGGGCCCAAGCAAACAAACAAACAAACAACAAACAAAACAACCAAACAACAAACAAGAAGCTAAGCAAGACAAAGACAACGTGACTGTGACAACACATGACAAGCAAACAAACAATCACATAAGCATAAGCATATGCAAACAAGTAAGCAAGTAAACGAACAAGCCAACAACTTTGCGCAAACAAACAACCAAACAACCAACCAACCAACCAACCAACCAACAAACAAACAAACAAACAAACAAACAAACATGCACGCACACATACACACACACACACGCGCACACACAAACTCTTGCAGCCGCAGCCCATATGCCATATCCCCATCCTGGGGCCTGGGGCTGCCTGTCGGGGCCAGTGCAGTCGGCCCGGCCCTTGACCCTTGATTCTTGCTTGATTAGTAGATCGGTCGACCCTGCCGCTGCCAAATCGAAGGGCCAGGATGGGGCCGCACTCGCCGGGGTAACTGTTGTCGTCCGCGCCATGCTGGACGCTTCCCTCTCCTCTCGCTCTCTCGCTCGATAAGTCAGTCCACCCCGTGGCGATGCTGCAAGCTGCACTGCAATGGGGCTCCTGAGACTCCTGAGCCCTCACATATCCTGAGTTCCTAAGCTCAGTCTGGTATCGTTTATCCGACCCCCATCCCCCCATCCCCCCATCCCCAATCACCATCGCCCATCACATCACCTTCGAGATTCGAGACCCCCACACCCCCACTGCCACCAACCAAGACCCCCAAGTCGGGGACACGTCGGACACACCCCTCGAAACCCAAGGGAACGGCCTTACAGGCCACGGCGCCGCTGGGGATGATAGGGATCGGTTAAACGATGCTCAAGCTGCTTGCTCATAAGTGCATCACTCCCCCATACTCCTCCTCCGACTCCTCCGTGGCAGCCAGTTTTGGCTCGATCAGCTCGGCAACCTGCCGCAGGTCGCAAGCTGCGCTCGTCCGCTCGTCAGCTCCCGCGCCACATCCGACCCTGGGCTCTTCGGATGCCGACGTCGGCGCCGGCGGGGAATGTGGTGGAGGCGCAGAAGGCAGATAGGCAGGCTCTCAAGAATCAGATGAAGACCCTCCTCGGCAGCGTCGACGGGTCGATCATGCTCGATCGCTTCTGGGAGAAGTTCGACGCAGGGCCGTTGCATTTACAGTGGTTTCTGGACGAGGCATGCACGAAGCCGTCTATTGTCCCTTCGCCGCACAACAGGCCGATTTCCGAGACAGTGGTGGAGGAGTACAAGTGCAGGATTTTGAACTCTGGCCTGTCGACCGGCACCAGGGGTGAGCCTTGGTTCCATTACTCTTCGAAGGACATCTGGTCGCAAACAAAACCATCACCCACCACTCATCAAGTTATCCTCGTCTGGACGCGCAGGGCGGAGGGCGGCGGTGGTGCCGCCTTGCGCGTCAAGACGGGGGTATCTTTGAGGGGAGGGATGTGGGTGGTTTGGTTTGGAGATGCGGCCGCAGGAGCGCAGTCTGCCAGCTTTCGCTTGCACGTATAACCATCTCAGCCAGGCTTTCTACCGAGCACATGAAGAGCAACCAAATAATATTTTTGTTCAGGCTGCGTTGAAGAACGGCTTGAAGTGCCGCATGATCAACGAGGAGGCTCCAGATTTTTCTCTTTCATGGATATGTGACTTTCACAATCATTATCATGGAGGGTCCAAGCCGACGTTTTGGCAGGCCATTCACAAGGCCCTCGCGTGGGAATCCCGCTGGCATGCGTATTGTCACAAATGGGGAATCGTTGCAACTGGTAACCCTTCATATGAGCTGCAGTACGAAGAGTTCGTCACGGAAATCATTGATGGAGAGAAGGACAGCCCGATCAAAATGGTATCTTGGAGACACTTTGTGAACACGAAGTCCGTTGCACACAAATGGGAGAACTTTGGAGTGTTCGAAGCCTTCGAGAAGTGGTGCATCAAGCACGTCAACTTCTTGAATGATGACCTGAACTCTTTCCAAGCAATCAACGTGCTGCACGCGTGGACGCTCAAGGTCGTCGGCGTGCTTGGGAAGTTCTACTCGAAGGAGATCGTGGGTGCCATGCTGTTGGAGGGCCTGAAACTGTGTGTCCCAATGCCCGAGCGCAAGGATGGCCAGAAGCTGAGAGACATGCAGCGCAAGCTGCCGTGGTTGTTCAAGCAGCTGGGCCAGCACACGCTCAACATGTTCGACTTGCTGAACACGCCCATTGCAGGGACCACCGCCGGCAGGAAAGTGGCCTCGGCGCGGTCTCAGGCGGTCGCGAGAGCCATCGCTGAACACGCACAGAAGATGGAGGAAGCCAACGCCAGAGCAACCCATGATGCCCAGGCTGCTGCAGGGCCCGAGGAGGAGCCGCCGCTGAAGATGCAGCGCCGCGGGAAGGGTCGCGGTCGCGGTCGCGGCCGCGGCAACCTTGGGAAGTCCGCGTCCCCGTCCCCTCAGGACAACGGTGAGCCTGCCCTTCCTGCTGGCGTGGTGTGCCTGGCCGAGGAGCTCGTGGCGATCGTCACTCCGCTCACTGGGAACGCTGCAGTTGGCCGCCCGGCCACGGTCCTCGACGACGTGATTCATGCCGTCGAGCACTCACTCGGGAAGGATCATGATGAGAAGGTCGCTTGGAGGACGCGCTGCGAGGCCTACTCGATCTTCCTGCAGTTCTGTTTCGCCGAGGAGGTCGACTGTCCTCCCCTCCCCTCCGCGCCCTCCACCTCCCCTCAGATGTTCAGATGTTTAGAGGGCCCAATGCCCAGGACGCTCAGGCTGAGAGGCCCCTTCGAGTCTTGGAGCCTCTCGGGGTGGGGCCGGGTGGGGCCCTCGGGCCCTCTTGGAGACTCTTGGTAGTGGTGCCACCTTGGGCCCCTTGGGCGCTTTTGAGCAACCGATCGTGAGGCCCGTGGGTGCATAGTGGAGCTCTCTAGGGCTTGTGGCCGTCGTGTCTATATCAAGGACGTCGGAGGGGCCCAAAAGAGGGGCCCAGTCCCAGAGGCCAGGTGGGGGCCCCAAGATAGCACCCCTGCCCCTGCTGTCGGCCGCTGTCGGCTGTCAAGGGCCCCCCCTTGGGCCCCTGAGGGGCCCTCGGAGCCCTCTTGAGGCTGGGGTCCAAGAGGGCCTCGAGACTGCCTCTCATCCTCGCTCGCTCCCACGCGCTCTCCATAAGGTCTCGATGAACGGCAAGGCGTTCAAGATCTACTCCAAGCTCCGCGAAGATCTGCAATCGATGGTGTCGCTTGCTACCAGGCGCGCTACTGGAACTTTCGGCACGACTGACTGTGACAACAAGTCATCTGAAGACGACCCCGACGCCGTGGCACAGCGCATACTCGACATCTGTCTCAAGCCAGTCGAGATCACGATTGGAGACGACATTGAGCACGAAGACGACGTGTCCAGCGCCGACGCGGAGAGGATGTTCGAGGCCCAGGAGATCGAGATCCGCACATTTTTGAACGAGAACGCCAACACGCATCCCACGTTGCAGAAGAATTGCAGTGACATGGCGCGCGAGCTCTCCATGCTTGGGTACGAGATGGACATCCAGTATGCTTGCGTGGCCATCGGCAACGTGATGGATAAGTACCTTCCCTGTAAGATGATCGAGTCGGTTGCTGCAATTTCGGTCATAGCTAGTCGGCTTGGCCGCGTCCCTGCGTTTGCTGAGGCTGTTTTCCCGAACGCTGAGTCGCTCGAGAGCTTCATCAGTACTCGCGTGATGTATACCTTGCACGGAGTCAAGACTCTGGCAGAGTTCGGGAAGTTGAAGGCGGACGACCAGGCCAACCCAATGCTCAAACTCTTGCAGCAGCACTTCATTATCAAGAAGGACGCCTTGTCGATGTTGCCGATGCGCCTGCTCTGTGGAATTGAGGCGTCTGCATCTTCCACAAATTGGCCCAGTGACTGGGTCGGGATTTGGCAGCACGTGTTCAAGCTGGAGACGGAGGAGGCCCTCACTGAGTATTGTCAGGATTTTGTCAACGGCAAGAGCGCTGCGAAGAGGCCTGAGAGCTCGGGCGCAGGCGCCGTTGACGCGGCGGAGGCGGAGGCGGAGGCGAAGGACGATGGCACGACGGCCGCGGCTGGCGATTGCGACACGCTCGCCCCGAACCCGGACCAGCAGCAGCCGCCCGCAGCAGAGCAGGCCGAGCAGACGCAGACGCAGACGGTCGCCTCGAAGAAAGTCTACTTTAAGATGTCAGACGTCCACAACTTCAGCAAGATGGGCGCGTCGCCGAATGATTCCGAGGACGCCAAGCAGCTCAAGATCGCCAACGTCGACGGCCTCCTGATCAAGAGTATCGAGACATCGCTCAATCACTACTTGTGGGTCCGGTACCGCACGCATGGTTGCATGTACGGGAAGTCGGCGTACGTCACGTCGGGGCCGAAGGTCGAGGAGATCTTCACGCCGATCGAGCCGGATGGGCCTTGCACAGGTTTCCAGTCCTTGATCTTCGACGTGGATGCCGAGAAGAAGGCTAACACGTTATATTTTGTCGTTCCTCACTCCGACGGGCTCGGCGACGGCGTGAAGCAGTGCTCCATCATGTACGCTGGCACTGTCAGCACGACTATGAAAGACGCGAGCTCGTTCTTGCTGGCGACTGTCTTCGGGGTCAATTTCTACCTGAACCACCCGGGCGGCAGTATGGTCGCCGCGGACTTCCCCGCTTTCGCGTGGCACGTGAAGGCGGAGGCGAAGGCGGACAAGGCCACGCTCTACAACGTCAGCGACGAGGTCGAGGTGTACATGGACGTGGACGGCTACCTCTTCGACGATCGCGAAGAGGCGGGCGGCAAGGAGTGATGGGTATGTTTTTCCATTGCCACTACCATGAGGCAGGAGGGGAGGAGGAAGAGGAGGAGAAGGAGAGGAGGAGGAGGAGGAGGCGGTGGAGGAGGAGGAGGAGGAGGAGGACTCCCCCTACCCAGAGGCAGGCGGCGAGTATGTGATAGGCTTGTTTCCAGGAGGTGGAGGAGGAGGAGGAGGAGGAGAAGTGAGGAAGAAGAAAAGATGAGGGCGGGAGGAGGAGAGGAAGCGGAGCCCTCCCTCACTCCTACTCCTCCTACTTGTTGGTAGTGGTAGTGGGAGACATACCCCAATCAAGCCATCAAGGAGGACACTATCGCGATCGCCCTCCACATCCCGAGCCTCATCGTGAAGGGCGCCAAGGTCATGGAGGCCGATCCGGGTGCTCACGTCCTCCTGTCCCGCGAGATGACTGAGGCCGAGCGCTCGGCGAAGGCCCGCGTGAAATTGCTCAAGGCCCAAGGAGGCGCTGTTTCACCGACCCCTCTGCTTGGCGTCGCCGCTGCGCTGGCGGACCACGCCGAGAAGCAGGCAAAGGGGGGCAGTGCGGCGGCGAAGCCTAAGGCTAAGTGCAAGTCTAAGGCCAAGAAGGATCTGCCGTCCAACAAGCACCTTATTAAATAGGCTTGCTTGGCCGGACGGCGGCTCCGTGGTCCGTCGTCTTTCTTTTCTCCTCCTACTCTTCCTTCCACCACTCCTACTCCTCCTCATTCCCTCATCCTTCATCCTCCTCCTCCTCTTCCTCCTCCTCCTCCTCTCCTCCTTCTCTCCTCCTCCTCTCCTCCTCCTCTCCTTCTCCTCGCCTCTGCCTCTCCTCACTCCTCCCGTCTCTTGCTATCCCTTCCTCAGATTACTCTTTCACATCCTCATCCTCCCATCTCCTGCCCATCTCTCCCCAATCACACATGCGCAAATTCAGTTTTCCCCCCTCTGCCTGTCTGTGCCCAGGGCGCGACGGCTCGACCCGACCGAACAGCATACAAACGTTGAAATGTGTAGGGTCCCGAACGGCAAACACGAATCCAGGAGTCCAGGACGGGCCCGGGCCGAGGTCAGGTCGAGTCGCCACCCTCTTGCAGTGCGCTCCCGCCGTCGCGGGCCTTGGCGGCAGCGCTGGCCGAGCTCGCCGTGCTTTCTGGCCGCCGTCCCCATGGGTGGGGATGGTCGAGCGCGTGGCTGAGCCAGCTGTGCGCGAGCGTTGCAAGCAGCGCAGCTCAGGTAGAATAGCAACAAAAAAAAACAATCGTCAGATCGTCAGTCAGAAACCGAAGCCGAGAAACCGATATTGGCGATCCTGATGCTGCTACTCCGTGCGTGTCCCGGGATGGAACGCACACGTCCTCGGCCAGGATTCCGATGCTGCTATCCCAGCTGTGGCGACGTTGGCGACTGGGCCGACGAGGTTTCGAGTGTGTCAAAATACGAAACATAAATTATGATATCAGCATCGGCGTTATCGAAACGGTTGCGGCCTCTCTACCGCGCCTGTCCTTCTTAGTATGATGATTCTCTCTCAATCTCTCTCTGTGTGACTAAAAAACAAGACGCATCGGCGACGCATCGAGATAACAATTCTGAATATGTTCCCTGAGCTATCTAATCTCTCGTGGTATCGTCCTCCGAATTCCTTGCTTTATTCTTCTCCTATCCCTTCTATTGTTTCTCTTCTCACCTCGTCCTCTCTTATTATCCTCCTTCCTTGTCCCCCCTCCCAAGTCCTTCCAGGCCGTCGGCGGCGCCTCCAACCCCTGACCTCCCGACGCAAATGTCGGCGGCCCACCCCAGAGCCGGAACTTACAAAGTGAGTGGAAAAAAAACAGCTAAGCGCGGCAGCCCCCCAGGCACACATGAAAAATGGAGGGGTGCTTCCAAACGAGACCTGCACAGCGCTCGACGACCGCAAGCGAGTCGAACAACTTCCAGAAGGCCCTGCACGGCAAACGAAGAACGAGAAGCGACCTTCGCCTGAAAGACGCGCGCATTGACGCATACAACACATGTCTCCCGACTTCGACCGCGCAAAGGGAGGCGGGGCTGAAAGGCGTAGGCAACGCGTTGCACGATGCACTGGCTACGGAGGCAGACGAAATCAGGCCGCACGGACACCTCGCAATTTGTCTTACACCTATACCTCGTAGGTCTATACTCAAGACGATATGCTCCGGTGTGGCCTTTCCAGATCATTGGATGCCAGATGTTTTCGGTCGCGATTGGTAGCGATCGATGGGCACTCCAACTCGGCCGCGACTGGTCGCGACAGATTCCAAAATCGGTCGCGACACGTCGCGACCGATCGGTCGCGACCGACTTTGAAGCCACTTGCTTGCGACCGATACCATATTCAAAAGCAGAATCGGTATCGACCAATCCCGTCGGAAGCGACAACATAAAAACTACATCCAACGTGACTAGGGTGGGTGGGCACAAGGGGCCGGGTTTCCTGTATAGCTGCTGCGACAAAACTCGATCCCTGAGATCCGACATTACTGCAGAATCGCATCAACCATGACTGTAGGCCAAGAGCCAACAGCCCATCTTTCGGCATACGGCAGGTTCGTGCGGCGTCGGCGCGCGCATAGGCTTTTGACACAGCGTCGATCGTTCAACTTTGAATCGATCGCGGCCCGCGCCGTTCAAGATTGAACTCGGTCGGGTCCAGTGGCGTTACAAAGTCCGTCGGTGCTTCCGTGTCGCAGAATCCAACCCTGAACGCCTTCGCTGGCGTCGCCAGCACGCCAACGCCGCGCGAACCTACCGCCACTTCTCGAGACGCATCGATCCGTGATGGCCCTGGAGCCCGAGCTTGGGCGAACACGCCCGCGGTGAGAAAGCCGCCACGCCCAGATCTGAGTCGGGTCGGGCGAAAGGGGGGGATAGAAAAGGGGGGGTTTGAGAATCAGCCCACGTAGCTGATTTTCCCGGCGCCTCCCGGCGCCGGAGGCGGCTGTGTATCGAGGAATGGGCCCCTCGGTGGGGCCGAAACCAGCTGCATGCAGCAAATTTCGCACCCCCCCCTTTCCCAATCCCCCCTTTTTCGCCCGGCCCGACTGAGGGGGATCCTCGAACTCCGCTCCGGGCGGGCGGGCCTCCCAGTGGGCCGCCACGCGCTCCCGCCACCCGCTGGCCACCTCGGAGGGCACCAGCAGGCGCGCACGCGCGCGGCGGAGCCGCATGGAGGGGCGCCCGGGCCGCCGCCGGAGGGGGCCCGCGGCGGGGCGGGGCGGCTCCCGAGAGGGACTTGCGCGCGCGGCGCCCTCCCGCCCCCCCAGCCCTGCTCGCGTCTGCAAAGGCCTCCTGTATAGGTGGTGCCAGGGCAGAGGGGGCCGGCGGATCGCGCCGCGTCGCCGAGATGCGTTGGCGATGCGTCGGCGATGCGTCGGCGATGCGTCGGCGATGCATCGGCGATGCATCGGCGGGATCGGCGATGCATTGGCGCTATCGGCGGGGAGAAAATCGGGCTTCACATCGAGCCGCACCGCCGGTGCATCGGCGATGCGGCGCGATCCTCCGACCCCATCTATTCGGACCCCATCTAGGAGGCCTCGAGTCTGGAAGAAAGCGGGACAAAGGCTCTTCAAAGTTTTCGACCTCCCCAGATCATGGGACACCATACTTGTTTGGCCAGGATCGGTAGCGACCAGTCGGCACCTACAAATTGCTCGCGCGACCGATCGCGACCGGTGCCGAAAGTGGTCGCGACAAGCTGAGGATCCCCAAACCAAAAATCTGCAGTCTGGACCCCCAAACCAATTCCAAAACCTCAAACCAAAAATGTTGGTATGTGTTGTGCGTGCGTGATCATATAACCTTAGATGCTGTGATGACGCCGTGCTAATACAAAAAATGTGGTCTATACCAAGATGTTTGGTTTGGACTTTTATGTTTGGTTTGACATAAGAATGTGTGTATTATATGTTGTTCGCGCTTTCTTGTTGTTTTTTTTTTTTGAACGTCTCACATGCACTGAACTACACTGAATTCTCTTCCGGAGACGCAGACAGGTCAAGATCGAGCACCAAACGAAAATTATTCAGAATCTGGTCACCCAAAGCGTGCATGGGCGTCGCGGCCACGCACGCTTTCGCTGCAGTTGTCATCTTCCCCATGAAGTCGTCAAACGCATAGCAATTCAAGAACCTTCGGATCACGTTGGGTCCATTTGTTTTGTTTCCGCGCGCCGCCGACTCACCTTGCGCACTCTAGCCCCATCGCGCCCAGCGTTCGGGCGGGGATGCAATGCCAGAATGAACGCGCGGAGCCGACGGCACACGCAAACAAAACATTCACACCCAAGAGGAACCTGGGGTTGTAAAACCTGGCGAAATATGATATGTGCCAGAACGTGTGAAACTTCGTTGGCCCAAGGTTGAACAGCAATTTGCCCTCTCGGGCGGCGCGCTTCGCTAGCGAATTGTATGCCAAGAGAAATGTATCGCACTTCTGCAGGAAGAGCGCCGCATCATCCCGTGTCATGAATTGGTCGTTATTGTCAAGGATATCATACATATCGCACAGCGTATCGAAAGCTAGCTGTCTAACATCATCGTATTCACTACCAGTGTGCGTTTTGCGACAAAGAAGCCCAACTGCGAACACAAGGTATTTTGCTTCTGCGGCTTTCGTTTTCATGATCCCGAAAGCCTCGGCCCCTCAAATAAATTTGCTAGCTTTCAAATGCCCGATCCTGTTTTTGAATCCGAGCTCGTCATAACATTCTAATATGTCCTCCCAGAGTTGCGACACGCGGCGGCCAGTTGAACCAGCATGCCCTCGGTACACCGCTATCTCTTTCAGGACACCCCCGAGTAAGTAAAGAGCGACCCCCATGTCCACAGCATGCATCCAACCACCTACGTAGTGCCAGCGCGCGATGCAAACCATATTCTCGATGGGATGGGTTGTGAAAGGCGGATGCGCAGCATCATGCGTCATGTAACAATGATATTTCCAAGATGCGTTCGGCCGTACATCTGCAATCG